TGAGGGTGGGGCTGGACCTACTTCTGAGATTAGTTTACAAAAGACTGTGACTTGTCTAGTTAGCAAACTCCTCTCTTCTTGCTTGCTTACTCTAATGAAGCAAGCGGCCATACCATGAGCTGCCCTATGGAGAGGGCCACATAGCAAGGATTGAGGGTGACCTCTGGTCAACAGCCAGCAAGGAACTGAGGTCTTCAGGACAATGACCCATGAAGAACTGAATCCTGCCAACAAGACTTGAGCAAGCTTATTAAACAGATCATTCCCCAGTCTAGCCTCAAGATGACTCCACGCCCTGCTAATACCTTATCTATAGCCTTGTAAGAAACCCTCATAGAAGCCACCTAAGTCTTGCTTGAATCCTGCCCCATGGAAACTGTGAGATAATTAATGTTGTTTAAGCTAACTAAATTATGAGGTAAACTGTTTTACGGCCACAGGTAACTAATACAATGATATTAAGCACTTTTTACTTTTTAGGTGTAAAAATGGTATTGTGGTTATGTTTTCAAAGGTACTGTTATTTTTTAAAGATAATACTAAAATATTTAAGGATGATATAATACAATACTTGAAATTACATCAAAATAATTTGGCAGTTGTGGGCAGTGGGGAATGGGAAGGTGATATATGAAACACCTGTGTCCACTGAGTTGGTAACTGAAGCTGTGTGATGGATACATGGGGTTTTTTAAAACTATTCTTCCTACTTTTGTATACTTTTAAAATTTCCATGATAAGCTCTTTTTATTAAAGTAGAACATTAAAACAATTATGCTATTAAATTAAGACACAATAATGAAGCCAAAGTGTAAACAATATTTATTACTACTACAAAAGGAAGGGGGAAAGTTCATAACAAACAATTTTTTTTACTAAGGATATTTACTCACCTTAATTCCCGCAAGAACAAGATTCTTTGCTATAAATGAAAAAGAAAAAGGAATAGCTTACTATTAGGATTGCATACTAGATATGTCTTCATGGAGCTTGGTCACTTATTTGACTAGATAATTTTGACTTTTTTACTACTCAAGAAGTACAAGTTCCTTATTAAAAGGAAAAAATCAAAATTTGCATAATCACACTGAGATAACCACTCCTAAAATTTTAGTGTATTCTTCTAGACATGTTTTTATTAACACTAACGTAATGAATTAATGGATAAAGAGAATGACCATTAATAACTATTAACATCACAAAAAGAGAAGCAATGAAAGCCATTATTGGTTCCTTGTGAAGAATGTAACAGTATCATGAAACAGTCTTGCCAAAAGAATCAAAACTGAATCTCATCAAGGTTTTGGATTAAACTTCTATTATAGGAAATACAAGAGGAAGGAGTTAAATTGTTTAAATTATCTTATATTGCTCAAAAGCATCACACAAAATTATGAATACAAATATTGCTTACCAATTTCCAAACCAAGGCCACCCATACCACTTAAGAAAACATGAGACTTGGCCATCTTCTGCATTGCTGTGTCTCCAAGGACGTACCTCTGTCGACTATATGTAAGACACAATGAAAAATAAAAAATTACTTCAACAAAACTATCCCTTAAAGTTGTTTATAAACTAATAGCCTAAGTACTAGATCTTTCCCACAAAATTGTTTTGAATGATTTGCACAATGTTTAAACATTTCTGAATTATTACATCATTAAATATAAAACGTCTGATTTCTAATCAAAAGTTTAGTTTATTATATCTTAAGCAGCAGTGCAATTAATCAAAGTATATGCCTTAATTATCGACATAGTTTTGCCATCTTAATGGTAGCTTGCTTATGCCAGCAGCGAAGAAGCCTGGAGGGCAAGTGGCGATGAAATCATGAAAGGCGTCTTCCACGGCTTGTTGAGAATTGAGTATTTTTCCTTGCAAGAAGTAGTCCAAAGCCTGGAAGAAGTGGTAGTCAGTTGGAGCAAGGTCTGGTGAATACAGTAGATGACAGAAGAGTGTCCAAGTACAGCTTCTGTAGGTTGAGCAGCATTGTTTGTGACATGTGGTCTTGCAAGAGGATTGGCCCGTCTCTGTTGACCAGTATCAGAAGCTTTATCACAAGCATCCTCATCATTTTGTCCAATTGGTTGCAGCAGACATCTGCTGTAATCGATTGACCAGGTTTCATGAAGCTGTAGTGGATAATACCAGCACTGGACTACCAAACAGATACCATTAGCTTTTTTAGAAGAATATTCGGTTTTGGACTGTGTTTCAGCATTTCATCTTTATCCAATTATTGTGACCAATATTTTGACAATACTGAGTCAAAAAGAATCCATTGTCATCACACGTAATATGGTGTAGAAAGGGTTTGTGCATTAATGTTGTGATAGCAAAGCAAGCAACTTCAAGATGATTTCTTTTCTGATCCTTATTTAATGCATGCGGTACCCATCTATCCAGTTTCTTTACCTTGCTCATTTGTTTTAAATGGTCCAATATTGTTGCAATAGTCAAAACTTACTATTCATTCAGATGTAGGTGAGATGGATTCGCTTACAGTACAGCTTTCAGCTCATCATTATCCACTTTGGTCTCAGGTCACCCACATGGCTCATTTTCGAGATTAAAATCACCAGAATGGAACTTCTCAAACCATCAATGTACTGTGCATTCATGTTCATTAGCCACGTCCTTCCCAAACACTTCGTTGGTATTTTAAGCTGTCTGTGCTGCATTGGTTCCATAATGGAATTCATATTTAAAGATAGTATGAATTTCTGACTCATTCATGGTTTCACAAAAATTGCTCTTAAAAAAAAAAACTGAGAGATAACCACAAACCACAATGTACATTCGAAAGAATGAGGACGTACCTTCACAATAAAAAAGTCCAAAAAAACAAAAAGCAAGAAGTGTCAAAGTGAACTGTCAGAGATATCAACTGTCAAACTTAGTACTTAAGGAAATCAGACATTCCATACATACCTAATAATTGCCACGTATATGACATATTTTGAAAAATTACATGATTTGGCACCATAATTCACATTCCCTCAAGGCAATAGACAGGTGGAGCTAAGCAGGAGTTGCCCCCTTTGACAGGGAGGATTATGACCTTAGACCTTGAGAGCAAGGAGAACTGACACCATGGTGATGCCCATGCTGCTTGCTATGTCGTGAGTAATGAAGTCCTTTTCCCTCACCCAGAAGTTTCACATCTTTGGTTAGTATCCACTTAACAATAATAATAGACTAGTTTTTCACTTTTAAGTAGGGTGAAATCAAATACCAGGCCCTGACAATATATATATAAGGTTTCACTGGATAAGGAATAGGATGTTGGAGGGTAAAGTGGTAAAGAGCAGCATGGAGGCTAAAAAGAAAGACACAGCCATGACTCATGGTAAATACTAACTAAAAACTATTGAGCTCTTAGGTACTATTCTTCATAATTAATTCGCAATTTATATGAATTTTTCTGATTAAATATTTGTTAAATGAATGTATTAAAAATGAATGAATGAATGAAAAGATTAGGCTTAAGAGATTAAGTAGCCTATCTAAGATGACACACTCATAAATGGTGATGGAGGATTCACACTCAGATCTAACATTAAAGCCTTATACTCTCAGCCACTAGGTTATGCTGTAGCCAAAAAAAGGCTTAAATGCACATTCAACAGTTTAGTCTCATCAATGAAGATGACAGAAAAACCATTTAAAAATTTTAAACTGAGAAGCCATATGCTCTGTGATTTTTAAAATATTTGGATAAAGTGTGGAAGATGGATTTGAGACAAAAGTAGCTCTAAAGAAATCTGAAAGAGAATATTATAATAGTTTAATTAAGAGATACCAAATGCAATGGGAAGAGAATGAAACAGTAGGAATTTAGAGCAGATGTTTACAAAGACTTTTAAAAATAACTAACTGAAACTGGAGAATGAGATAGGCAAAAATCTAAAATGACACCAAAGTTTCTAGCTCAGGTGACTAAGTGGATACATATAATTAATGCTTGGGAATGGGAAGAGGGAAGAAGAAAAAGAGATCCCATGGTACTTACTGAGTGCTATTTTATGCTAAAAACTATTTCATGCTGTTTTTACATAAAATCTTTAAGACTAGGATATTATTAAGATATGAGATATTATTCCTGTTTACATATGAGAAACCTGTGGAGAAGGATTAAATAACAAGTTCATAGAAATACCAGGATTAGGATGTGAACTTTCAGCTGTCTCTGGAGACCATGTTAACTCCACTGTACCACAACACTTCTCTAAGAAGTAGATATTTGCTGAACATCTGTTTTACATTTAAAGTATGTACCTGTATGTATTTAAAAATGAAGGTCTCAAGCTTATTAGGAGAAAGATGAAGAAGACACTCAAGTATCACTAGCATACAGATAGCCAAAATCACGAAAACAGATGATATGAACCAGAATGCAAACTAACAGAAAAATCCTTAAGTTGGAATCTGGCATTTATGATGCATGTAAAGTGAGGAGAGTCTAAAAAAAAATCTGAGACGGAAAAGTCAAATCTGAGATGGCAGAGTCAGAAGAGCAGAGTCAAATCCAAAAAGACTGATATTCCAGAAGTCAGAAAAAAGTGTTGGCAAAGATGTGAAGACAGTGGAACCCTTGTGCACTCACTGTTGGTGGGAATGTAAAATGGTACAGCTGCTATTGAAAACAGTACAGAAGTTCCCCCCAAAATTGAAATAAATACTAATTTATTATCATATGATTCAGTAATTCCATTTCTGGTTATTTATCCAAAAGAATTGGAAAAACATCTTGAAGAAATATTTGTACTCCTATGTTCACTGCAGTATTATTCATGATAGCCACGAGGTAGAAACAATCTAAATGTCCACTTACAAATGAATAAAGAAAATGTGGTATATTACACACAGAATATTACTCAATCTTAAAAAAATAAAGGAGGAAATCCTCTCATATGGTACAGCATGCATGAACCTTGAAGACATTATGCTAAGTAAAATATGCCAATCACAGAAGGGCAAATACTGCATGATTCCACTTATATGAGTTATCTAAGTGTCAAGCTTACATAAGCAGAAAATAGAATGGTGGTTGCTAAGGGTTGGGGGGAGGGGGAAATAGAGAGTCGCTATGCAATAGGCACAGAGTTTTGGTCATGCCAAGATGAAAAAATTCTAGAGATCTACTAGATCTCTAGAACAACAACAATGTGCACAGAGTCAACAATATAGTTGACCTTGAACAACACAGGTTTGAACTGCATGGGTCCACTTATACATGGATTTTTTCCAATAAATACATTAGAACATTTTCTGGAGATTTGTGACAATTTGAAAAAACTCAGTGTAACCGAAAAATATTTTAAAAAGCAATTAAATGTTAAGTATGTCATGAATGTCTAACATATCGGTAGACACTACTCTACTTTATAATTTACTACCATAAAATATACACAAATCTATTATAAAGTTAAAATTTATCAAAACATGCATACAAACACAAACTGTACATGGCACCATCTGCAGCTGAGAGAAATGTAAACAAAGGATGCAATAGTAAATCATAACTGCATAAAATTAACTGCAGAACATAGTGTACAACTATAATATTTTGTAGCTACCTCCTGTTGCCATTGTGGTGAGCTCAAGTGTTGCAAGTGCTAACACTGCTGCTGCTTAAAACACTGTGACTCTAATTATCTCTGCATGAGCAGTTAGTCTCTCCAGTAAATTGTGTATCACAATAAAAAGTGATCCCTTGAGGTTCTTGTGTATTTTTCATTATGTTTAGTGCAATATTGTAAACCTATATAATATTGAATAACACCATAGAACCCATACACAGTGCCATTAGTGATGCTGGAAGTGCTCCCAGGAAACAGATAAAAGTCATGACATTACAAGAAAAAACTGAATTGCTTGATATGTACTGGAGATGGAGGTCTGCAGCTGTGCTTGCCTGCCATTTCAAGAAAAATGAATCCAGCATAAGGACCATTATAAAAAAGAAAAAAAGGAAATTCATGAAGCCATCACAGGAGCTACACCAGCAGGTAAGAAAATCTTGCACTTTTGTAAAAGACCTTTATATTTCATATTAAAAATGCAGCACTCATGTCGGTACAAGATTGCTATAAGACAGGCATATCTATAGAGTCTAATATTATTCAAGAAAAAGTGATAACTTAAAGCAAAAGGAAGGTGAAGAATCTAAAGTTGGAGAATTTAAGCCAGCAAAGGATAGTTTGATAATTTTAGAAAGAGATTTGGCTTAAAAAAAATGTCAAGATAACAGGAGTAGCAGCTTCTACTAACCAAGAGGCAGCAAAGAGTTTCCAGATGCCATTAAGAAAATCATTGAGAAGAAATGCTATTTGCCTGAACAGGTATTTTAATGCAGACTAAAATGCCCTATTCTGGAAAAAATGCCAAAAGGACATTTATCAGTAGCAAAGAGAAGCAAGCACCAGGATTTAACACAGGAAGGGAAAAGCTAGGCTAACTTTATTGGTTTCTACAAATAGTCAGGTTTATGATCAGGTGGGCCCTTATCTATAAAACTGTAACTTCAAACCTCGAAGGGAAAGGATAAATTTTAACAGCTACCAGTCTTTTGGTTGTACAATGGCCTGGACAATGAAAACTTGTTTTCTGGATTGGTTTCATCAATAGTTTTTTCTCTAAACTCAGGAAGCACCATGCCAGTTAAGGGCTGCTTTTTAAAGTTCTTTCAACATTGGACAATTCCCCTGGCTACCTAGAAGCCCATGAGTTCAACACCAAAGGTTGGTCAAAGTGGTCTACTTGTCCCCAACACAACTTGTCTAATTCAGCCTCTAATTCAGTCCTCATAAAGACCTTTAAGGCTCATTACACATGGTACTCTATGGACTGTCAATGCTACGGAAGAGAACCCCAACAGAGAGAACATCACAAAAGGCTCAAAGGATTACACCACTGAAAATGCTGTCATTGTTACATGAAAAGCTGTAAAAGCTATCAAGCCCAAAACAATAAATTCCTGCTGGAGAAAACTGTGTCCAAATGTTGTGTATGACTTCACAGGATTGATTTATGACAGAGCCAATCAAGGAAATCATGAAAGAAATTACAGATATGACAAAAAAAGGTTGGGGGGGGAGAAGGGTCAAGCTATGGATTTTAGAGAAATTTAAGAGCTAACAGACACCACATCAGAGGAATTAACAGAAGATGGCTTTATATTGACTTGATATAGATGAGTGCTTCCAAACTAGTGCCAGATGATGAAGGCGGCGGCAAAGAAGCAGTGCCAGAAAACAAACTGACATTAGACAATCTGGTCGAAGGGTTCTGATTATACCAGACTGCTTCTGACTTCTTGTAGGACATGGACCCTTCTATGACAGGGGCACTAAAACTAAAGCAAACAGAGGAAGGAGGAGTGGTACCGAATTAGAAAAGCAGCAAAAAAGTCAGACAGAAATTATGATGTATTTCCATAAAATTAAACAGAGTGTGCCTGCCTCTAAATGTGAAGATACAGGATGAAAACCTTTACAATGATCCACTTCTCCTTAATGAATAGTAAGTTTATTTCTTCTTCAAGATTTTCTTAGTATTTTCTTTTCTCTAGCTTACTTTATTGTAAGAATACAGTACATAAAAAATGTAATATAAAAATATGTGTTAATTGGGCCGGGCGCGGTGGTTCACGCTTGTAATCCTAGCACTCTGGGAGGCCGAGGCGGGCGGATTGCTCAAGGTCAGGAGTTCAAAACCAGCCTGAGCGAGACCCCGTCTCTACTATAAAAATAGAAAGAAATTAATTGGCCAATATATATATATATATATATATATATGAAAAAAAATTAGCCAGGCATGGTGGCTCGTGCCTGTGGTCCCAGCAACTCCAGAGGCTGAGGCAGCAGGATTGCTTGAGCCCAGGAGTTTGAGGTTGCTGTGAGCTAGGCTAATGCCACGGCACTCACTCTAGCCTAGGCAAGAAAGCGAGACTCTGTCTCAAAAAAAAAAAAAAAAAAAAAAGTGTTAATTGACTATGTTATTTGCAAGGCTTCTGGTCAACAGTATGCTATTAGTAGTTATACTTGGATTTCTTACTGCATGGGGGTTGATACCCCTTAATTCCTGTATTGTTTAAGTGTCAATTGTACTTTAACATACACTTAAAAATTTGTTAATAGGGTGGAATTTATGTTATGTGTCTCTACTATGATAGTAATCTTTTAAAAAAATGAATGGGGACCATACTTTTTTAAAAGACAAGGTCTTGCTATGTTGCCCAGGATGAACTTGAACCCCAGGGCTCAAGTGATCTTCCCGCCTCAGCCTCCTGAGTAGCTGGGACTACAGGCATGCACCACTGCATCTGACTGGAACCACGTTCTAAATGACCCTGTAAGTTATAGCATTTGGACTTGTATTATGAGAAAACATAGTCAGAAATGTGGCTTTGTGAAAGAGAATGCAGAGAAAAGAGAACTTGTAGAATCTATCTTTACACTACCTTACCTTCATCCACCTTACTCCTGAATCCATCTCCCTAAGATGGTAAGAGGTTAAGGATGCTCACTTCACACTTTGTCCCTAAAATAAATCATTGCCCAAAGTCCTAAATCTAGTATTTGTCCGCCATAAGCAAAAGACATATATTGAAAATTAAAAAGAAAAAAAATCTCCCAAATCTTCAGGTTTAGTCACTGTAATAATAAAAACACCCGCCCTAACAGTCACTAAAAAAAAAAAAAAAAAAAAAAAAAATCTACAATTATAATAAATTTTAAAATCTAAGCACATAAAAGCTGATTTCTGTGTCAAAAAGCTCACATTTTGGCCTTTGTAATATACATATATCTTTGGATTTCTAGTAAGAAAACTTAAAAGTAGTAACTGTTTCAGCATTCACTAATAGTACCCACACAAATTCCTATCTTTATCATGTATTATTTTTTCTTGAATCTTGCACTCACTATGACAAATTCTTAAGAAACATATTAAAATATAAATAAGAAGAAAGATGTTGATAAACAACAAGAACATGTTTGCAACAAGTCATACATTGAAAGTGCAAACAACTACACTAAAAGATATTTTGTCAGGTAAAAGAAAATAGTTTACCTCTTAATAATACCAGCTAAAACTGCTATGGTCTATAACTTTTAGTCAAGCAAACTATGTTCTACTTAGCATTGTAAATGAAAAATTTAGTCAGTGGTCTACTCAAAATTATATTTATTTAATAAGCATTACAGGGTTAGAGGGATATAAAAAAAGTTTCATAAGAATCATAACTATGCAATCAATAAAATTAGCCCATACTATTCCAAAGAGTTGCCATTTGTTATCCCAAGAGGACATTAAGAATGTAATTACAGATTAAGAATCCCAACTAAGGTGACTTCTGAAGTATATTTTATAATCAGGAGACTACCTGCAAAGTTATTTTCACATAAGCAAGATTAAATGTTAGTCTTCTATCTCTTTTTCCAAGTGCAAAGCACAAAACAGAATTTGGAATCAACATATCAGGTGGCATGCATCAACTCCTAATAAAATACTCATAATTAACTCTGCATCCCACATTAGAAAAATATAAAGAGGAATTAAAAATACATAATAAGTCTATCCTTCAAAATTTGACTGACATAAAATATATTTTTCATGGTTATATTGAGAGGAAACCTAATAACTTTTAAACTGAGACTATGCTGTCTTCCATACAAACAACTCCAACTATTAAAAAAAATTTCTTAGGTGTGACAGCAATGTATATGTTTTTAACTTTTCTTTAATTATTGAAGTATTCTGATTTCATGAAAAAGTACTGTTAAAAGAAGTCCCACCAAATTCCATTCAAATCACAACTCTTCAATCATATACTTCTCCATTGTCTACAAATTACAAACAAGCAAAGTTTTAATGAGATTATACTGAAGTAATCATATTCACTAGATGCTACTATATGACTAAATAAGGTGAAATTGAATTTTTTAATGAGACTCCTGCACTGTCAAGAAATATGTGTTATTGTTCAAAAACAAGAGGTATATTTCGTTGAGGACAGCATAATCCTTCTTAATTAGTTTTTTCACCTAAACCTAAAGCAACTGAGAGTTAATTATTATTACAACTTTCAGATTACATTAAAAAAAAAACCCCAATTACTGAAACCCTAATTTTGACTCTAGAGGAACATTCAGGATATATATATATATATATAATGCTGCATAAACTTAATGGTTTCTTCAAATAGACTACTTGATTACTTGAGAACAATGAATGGAGAAAATACGTTTCTGTTTCCATGAGGTTCTTACCTGTATAACGCATCATCAATCTCCACAGATTCTGTTGACATGATGGGCCAATTTTTATTTGTACTGGGAAAAAAAAACAACTTATTAGAGCAAGTATGGTTATTCACATTTTATAATATAACATCTGATTATACATGGGATCAGATTTATGAGTTACTAAAACTCTTTACACACCAAATATATATTTTATTATGTACCACTTTTGATTTTTAAAATGTTTTGAAATTAAATTCTGATTGGTTGCTATGCCCTGTGTGTACTATAAGATTATAGAGCCCATGGTTTTATTCTCAGGTGTTTTATCATTGCCACATATATTCTGATGGATCCATATTTTAGCAATTTTGTTTCATGAACAAAATTTCTCTATAAACACACTCTCCCTAAATAAACTTCTTAAGTCCCACAGAAGTCACTGTATAGTGATATCTAACTTTATTTCTCCATATTTTATCTCTCCTCTGACTCCAGATTTTATTTTTTTTATTTTTTATTTTTGGAGACAGAGTCTCACTTTGTTGCCCAGGCTAGAGTGAGTGCCATGGCGTCAGCCTAGCTCACAGCAACCTCAAATTCCTGGGCTCAAGCGATCCTTCTGCCTCAGCCTCCCGAGTAGCTGGGACTACAGGCATGAGCCATGATGCCCGGCTAATTTTTTCTATGTATATTAGTTGGCCAATTAATTTCTATTTATAGTAGAGACGGGGTCTCGCTCTTGCTCAGGTTGATTTCGAACTCCTGAGCTCAAAGGATCCCCCCGCCTTGGCCTCCCAGAGAGCTAGGATTACAGGCGTGAGCCACCACACCTGGCCTGACTCCAGATTTTAAACACCTGCCAAAACAATAACTCTATTCTGATGTCTAAACGTTACCACAAACTATTGCTGCTTAATCTTATCTTCCCCAGTCTTTCCCAAACAATTTTTGGTACTTCTATTTTCCCAGTTGGGCTTGAAATTTCGATATCTTATTTAAATCATTCCTTTGCTTTCTCCACCTGTGAGTCCTATTAACGCTACCTTCAAAAGAGAGCAAATCTGATCACTTCTCACTACTAATTAAGTCAGTACAATCTCAAACCATCATCACATTTCACATAAAGTACTTCAAAGACCTCCTAACTAGTACCCTTATTTCCACTATTGCCCTTCTCCTTTAGTTTATTCTGTACGTAACAGCCTGAACACCTTAAAACGTAGTCAGAAATTATTCCTTGACTTAGAATTATCCTTCAGTGGATTTCCTTTACTCTTAAAACAAAATTCAAACAACTTACCACACTTGAAACAGCCTATTTGTTCTGTCTCCCAATTACCTCTTCAATCTGAACTCCCAGTACTCTCCTTTCTCGCTTACTGTCTACAAGCTACACTGGCCTTCCTGCTGTTCCTCAAGAAGCCAAACTTGCTCTCACTTCAGAATTTTTACACTATTTCCTCTGCTTGGAATGTTATTCCTTCAGATCTCAGAATAGCTGACTTCTTAAGCCTCTATTAAAATACTGCCTTACAAATATTACACAGATCACTCCCTCATTCTATCAATAAGATGACTCCCCTTATGCTTAGGTTAACCTGCTGTACTTTCTTCAAATCACTTATCATTAACTGTTTATTGTCTGCCCCTACACCTCCCAGTAGAATGTATGGTCTGTTAAAAACTCACTATTGCATTCCAAATACCCAAAACAGTACCTGGTATTTAGCAGTAATAGCTAACCCTGTGCCACACATTGTTTTAAGTGCTTTAGATGTACTAACTCAGTGAACTGCTACAACCTTATGAGAAAGGCACTACTGCCATCTCCAATGAACACAGGAAAAAAACCAGAGTTCAACTTAAATAACTTGCCTAAGGTCACAGAAGCAGGCAAATGGCACAGCCAGGATCTGAACTCAGACACTCTAGCTCTTGACTACCATATTATACTGCCTATTGCCTCTCATAAAGGAAGCAATTAAAACATCTGTTAAATGAATATTTTTTAGGAATAAAAACTAAGCTAAACATACCAGTGTGACAAAGTATACTTATTATACTAATGTATTATTTACAGTAGCCCGTCTCCATTTTTTCACAGCATGGCATACAAAAAAATGATATTGTAGGAAACACTTGAGAAGCACAGATAGTTCCCAGGCAGAAGGAACCAGCCTGTGGCATTTAGGCCTGAGCCACTGTGAGAGCTGCGATCAATATTATCTTGGCAAAAGTGCAAGCCATTCCAGGTTCTGGGTAGTTCTCCTTGTCAATCACAGGATTTGAAAAACAATGTCACAACATGAAATTCAGGTTTGGAATCCAATTTTCTAGGCTTAGCATTGATAAATAAGCCAAAGGATTTGTAAATATGGGTAATTAAAATATTACCATTTATTTTACCAAACATTGACTTGGTATCATCAAATAATATCAGCTTCTAGCAGTTAAGTGGATAACTATTACAAAAACTCCTGACTGCAATCATGAAAGCAAACCAGAAGATAAGCTGCTGCCTTTGCAGAAAGTTCTGCCTCACTGGAATATTTCAAGAATGTTTAAAAATAAGAAGATCTATAAGACAATCAAAAACGCTTCAAATAAGGGGTGTGGTGTGTAATGTATGACATAATAGCCCTCAGGTAAATGTGGCAGTATTGGGAATGGCAGACAATATCATGGTACTAAAAGCAACCCTTTTGTCTGAAACTGGCGAAAAAGCTACAGGTTTATGAACAGTCTCTCGCATTGGCTGAAAATAACACAACCTTCACTTCTACCTTTGGCATAGTGTATTCTGACAGTGGGCAGACTACAAACACTTACTTTATTAATTATGAGATGACCGAAAGAGAAATTACGAACCAAAAGATTGGCAAGGGCCTAGCCACGAACATTTCCCCCTAACTTTGCAGGGGCGGTAAAGACGTAAAGGAGAACCCCGGTTCCAAGTTGCAAAGAAGAACGGATAACTTGCGCCTGTTTTCCCGGCTTTCCCCGCCCCCACCCCCACAGACTGCCACCGATTCATTCTTTACCAAGTTCCCCCCGAATAGTTTTCAGAGCAGGATCTCAAAGCAGGACAGTGAACGGCGCGCCCACCGCTTTCGCTTCACCGAGAGGAGCAGGCAGGGAGCTTCGGCACCCGGCGGGAAGCTCACACTAGCGACCGGGGCCAGAACACTCTCCCGGCTGCAGCCCCGAGCCCCGTCCGGTGACCCGGAGGGAGGAGGACGCCAGAGCCCAGCCGGAACGGAGAAGGCGCGGGAAGGAGCGGGAAGCGGACTCCCCGCCGGGGAGAGCCGAGGCCGGGGCGGCTCCGCCACACCCACCGCGCGCCCCTCGCCGGCCGGGGCCTCCGCGCGCTCCCGGCCCGCCGGCGGGAGCAGCAGAAAGCTGGAGCCCAGGTCCCCCCGCGACCCCGCGCTTCTTCTCGCCCCTGTCGTCCCCTCACCTGCCAGTCCCCCAGGAAGAGCAGGACGCCTCTTCCCCCTGTGGGGCGCCGACCGGCTTGGGGCGCTCCATTGCCGCCTCACACACCGCCGCCGGCGACGGAGAGACGGGGAAGGGGGCGGGATCGCGAGGGGTCAAGGGGCGAGCGGTGACGTCACCAGAGGGGGCGGGCCTAGGGAAGCGAGGCGCCCGGCAGCGCCTTCCCGTCAGGCCCAGGGGCGTCCTGGCTTCCGGTTTGGGTGTGGCCGCCGGGCGGGCTGTGGTGCAGGTGGCTGAAGTGGGCGTCCCTGCTGCCACTGCGGTCCGGCTGATGAATGCGGGGCCAAAATTCTGAAGTTTTGCGTCACCGCTGGCTCTGCAGACAAGCATACAGGACTAGTGATCCGCGAAATGATGAGACTGTGTTGCAAACCCTTAAGAGTCTTACAGCAAGAAGAGGGAACTCCTTTATTTTATAAATAGAAAACCGAAGGCTGGTTTTCTGTTTCTAGCTCCAGATTTCCAGCCTGGTGTTCCATTTAAAGGCCTTATACATTTAACAAATAACTTTGGGTGTCTACTGCATGTGAGGAACTGCCTCAAATGTAGAAGAATCGTATGATTTTTAGAGCTATAAATGACGTGGGGCCATCCAGTTTGGTCCTTTCATTTTATGAGTGAAGGAAAGAACTTCCTGTCAGTGCAAGTGACTTGGTCAAGATCATAGAGCTAGTTAAGGTCAGTTTGTCAGAACACAAGTCTAAGGACATCTCATCTAATTCTCTTTCTGTTAACTCCTATGTCACCTTTCTTAGAAAACCACACTTAGTTGGACACAATAACATTAGGATTTGACTTTCCTTTTAAATAAGAGTGGGTATTTGAAGAAAAGTCCACAGGATTTTAAAAATTGATAAACCCACCTTGACTTTGGGTACTATATAATTTTCTGTAATGTATGATATTTTTACTTAATTAGAATTTCTTCCTCCCTCGTGGAGACAAGGATCTAGGCAAAACTGCATTATCCTTTGTGTTATCCATTGTCTTTGAAATTGCACATCTGCAAATACCTGGAAGCCTCATGTTGTTCACCTATGGCATTATCTAGGTTTCACAATCCTGTTGTGGACCTTCTCTACATAACCATTAAAATGAACTTGATCTATGTCTTATTCTTTCACAGTTCTGCTCTATCACTAAGTTTATTTCCTTTCTTTTTACTCATAAATACTAGTTAGCATAATATGAAGCTTTTTTACATCTAAGCGAACCTCCATCTCTGGGAGCAGACAATCATTAGGTAAGAGCTGAAAGCTCTTAGGAGTGGTTTCCCATATAAAATTTCAGGAGCTAAGTGCCAACTTACTTCTGGGGGCCACCCGAATGCTCAACAGGGCAAGAGATAACACTTTGTCCTAAGTTAAATTGGTCTCTTGACAGATTTTGAAGAGAATCTTCTTTAAAGTTTTATTAATTTGTTCAGTTTTCCCCAAAAACTAGGGTCCCCATGATGAATGAATTTTCCAGTTATTTTTTTAAATTCTCCATATTTCTTGGGTGATTTTGGCAACAAAGTCTGCTCCATTATCATTTTGGAGAGTTGATGGAAGTCCAAACGTAGGAATAATTTCCTTTACAAGGGCCTTAGTGACTTCTGACATCCTTTCAGTCCTGGTGGGGTAAGCTTCAACCCATCCTGAAAAAGTGTCAACAAAGACCAGCAAATATTGGAATCTTCCAGGGACTCTCAACATCATGGTAAAGTCTACCTGCCAGTCTTCTCCCAGGAAACTCCCTTTCCATTGTGTTCCTTCCTTTATGGGTGGCTGAGAGGCTTCCAAAGACTTTGGGTTATTTTTCAAGCATATGGGGTAGCTTTGGACTATCATTTGAATAGTTCTCTGTAAGTTGGGCCCAGCCATGTGAGGCTGTATTTATTGTAAGGTGACACCTCGTCCAAAAGGGGTACTTTGATGAATCTGCTCAAGCACTGGTCTGATGAGAGTTTCAGGAAGGAGGACCTTCCCTTTCAGATTTGTGAGCCAATTCTGATCATTATACTTTGAGAATCCCCATTCTTTAGCTCTCTATAAATCCTTTTCAGCATGTTGGGGATCATGTTTATACAGTTGAAGAAAGGGAATTAAAGTCAATTGGGTTGGGCTGCCATTTTTTTTTTGCCATCAAATCTGCAATAGTATTTCCCTTTGTAATATAAGTGTCTCTTTCTGATGTCCCAGGCAGTGTGTGATGGCTACCTCCCTAGGCAGTAAAACTGCTTTTAATAATTCAAGAATATGAGGATCATATTTAATTTATTTTCAGAAGTAAGATATCTTTGTTCTAAATCAGTATAAATAGTGATACACTTATTTTCCCATGATACATGGCTCTGGTCAGTGCAATCAATTTAGCTTTTGGGGTGGAGTTCCCAGAGGGTAAGGCTTGTGCTTCAATTACCTGTTGGCTGGTAACCACAGCGCACTCAGTTTTGTGTTGTCCATGCTCTAGAAAGCTGATCCCATCGGTTAGGAACTCCTCATTTGAGTCTGACAAGGGCTGATCAGCCAAATCTAGGTGGCTATAATACACTTGATCAATAATTCGAATGTAATCATGGGCCAGGGAGTGAGAGTCCATGGGTAGCAAGCAAGTGGATTTGAGGCAGTCCATCCCTCCCACCTCTGGTTGATGTGACCTCCCCAATAAATCCTTTCTTCCTTGACAACCCTTGTTGAAAGGCAGTTCCCAACATGGCTGCTTGCTTCTTCAAAAACAGCAGAATTTCTTTCTTCAGTTTGCTAAGATAGAGTCTTATATAACATAACATAACCATAAGACTGACATTGTACTTAGCACCTTTGCTTTATAATGCAACCTAATCAAAGAGTGACATTTTATTAATTTGCCATAGGTAATGTATGGTCGAAAGTAAGCCAGGGGTTCCAGCCACACTCAGAGAATGGGGATTATACAATGGTATGCTGTATTGGGAACAACCTTAGTGTGTATGTGCTAAGGCTTAGAAAATTTTTCCATTGACCACCTTCAGTATATTTTGTACCTTGTTTCCCCTTCACAACTCATATAGTTCTTGTGACATATATCTGGACACATTCTTATCATGACTCTGACCCTACGCTTTCCTGTCACTTTACAGGTAAGTCGGTACAAATAGGCATTTTATCTAGCACCATGCTTAGAAGCTTATTTTAATGGTTACTAATGATTTAAATAAACATGAAAGTGACCAAGAACCATATAATATCCTTCTAGATTCAATCTAAAGATGTCTTTAGTTCAATTTCTCCTTGCCTAGATCCCAAAGATTTCCATGGCCATTCCAACACCACCTCATCTCAGGGGAAGTTTCAAAATGGGAACGTAAGAGTGGAAAGAGATAGTCTTAGTCAATTGCAATTAAAATATCTTATTTTTGCTAATCTTATAAAAACACGTGACTGTGTGATAGCATCTTTTCCAGGGGCTCAGGAGTGGACTGAATAAGTGAGGAGCTTTGAAGTTAGGTTTCATGAGCTTTACAGGAAATCTACCTCAAGTTGCCATTTATTTATTAACGTACGTGACAATTATTCTCTGAATCTGAAGTAATGGCCAGATTTTTAAAAACATATGAAAATGTATTGCCCAATGGACTAATTATAAAAACAGACAACCAAATGAAGAAAAAATCAGGACCCAAGTGTTCCTAAGAAAGTCAATAATTATGCAGAACCTACTCTCTATACATCAGGTTATGATTCCAAGCACTAGAGTTTAATATGCTTGGATTCAAATTGTGAAAAACAATGAAAATATGTTATTTTCCATTATGGCTATGTTTATTGTGCAATTACTGTGTTCCAAGAACTGCATTTAGTCTTTACGCTTTGTATTTAAATTGTGTGTTGTGTAAAGTTGTGGTATATATAGTCTCAATTTTGCTTTAAAAGATAATTGGTGATTATAAAAAGTACTGCTGTTTTCTGACATAAAAGGCATTACTCTTTTACACACACACACACACACACACACACACACACTCCCTCTCTCTTTCTCTCTCTTTCACACACATACACACAGCCCTGCCCCCCCCCCCCAAAAAAAAAGGAAAAAAAGCCAGTTACCAGATTGTTAAATGTTCAGGGATATTGAGCCCTGTCCCACGAGATGAATTATGCCCTTAAAGTGTTCAAGGTAATCCATTTTTTCTTTTCTAGTGATTGGTTTGGGGTTGGTCTTGTGTCCCTTTCTGGCCAATTTAAGAAAAAGTGCGGCCGGGCACAGGGGCTCACGCCTGTAATCCTAGCACTCTGGGAGGCCAAGGTGGGCCGATTGCTTGAGGTCAGGAGTTCGAAACCAGCCTGAGCAAGAGCGAGACCCTGTCTCTACTATAAATAGAAAGAAATTAATTGGCCAACTAATATATATAGAAAAAAAATTAGCCAGGCATGGTGGCGCATGCCTGTAGTCCCAGCTACTTGGGAGGCTGAGGCAGGAGGATTGCTTGAGTCCAGGAGATTGAGGTTGCTGTGAGCTAGGCTGACGCCATGGCACTCACTCTAGCCTGGGCAACAAAGTGAGACTCTGTCTCAAAAAAATAAAAAAAAGAAAAAGAAAAAATGCTGAGGGTTATGGGAAAGAGAGATCTATAACAAGAAGCCACCCATCCTTTCTGCCTTTGAGACTTAGAATGGTGACAACCAACCTCTAGTCATGAAAGGAAAGCCTAGTGGAAGCAGAAAAGCTGATTCAAAGGTCTGGGTTAACCAATTCCACATGCCTACCTCTGGCCATCCTGTAACATGAGATGGAAAAATGCCACTTTTAGTTTGACATTTCTATTCCTTACAGCAGAAAGAATTCTAAGAGAAACAGAGATGCATGAAATAAAAGTCATACAAACACACACACACATGACTTTTATTGTGCTTCTTCTCATTATAAAAGCAATGTATATGTTCATTTTGGGAATTTGGAATTTTAGGAATTCACAAGGAAGAAAATTTCAAAAATCACTCAGAGTTAGCTATATTAACACTTTTGCATGCATTTATCTATTGCTTCTATGCATGCATTTCATGTTATGTAACTTTTAAAATTAGACTAATTATTTTAAACTTGATTTTTTAACTTAATAATCATAAAAATAATAAGCAAGATTAAATTTAACCTTATTCTTTTTTCTTTTATTTCTTTTATTTATATGGTAATTACAAAAGCCCAAGACATTGGTTTAACATGTAAAGGGGCCACAGGTAAAATAGATGAAATTCTAAAAATACTTTAACTGCCTAAGATATTATGCCTTATGACTATCACATCAGTTCTGACAAAATCCCATTCCTAACTCATTCATGCTAATTTGTATTTCCTGGTAGATAATGTTTGTACCTGATACCTCTCCCAGAGTATTTTTTTAAGCTACTATATCGCTGCTTAATAGGCTGAAATGAAATTAATGTAAACTTTGTTCAATTCATTGTCACTAGTTTATGTCACTTTCTTACTAAACTGAATTGCTAAAAGAAATGCAATTTTTAGCTACTTTTATAGGCTAAGTAAAGAAGACACCAAGATAGAATCTTATTAATAATTATCTGATATGTTGGATTTACTCTGTAGAACATTTCTTTTTTTACAAGGAATATTCATCTTTTATTATATACTTGGAAATAGAATAAATGACTGTAATATTGAATATGAGCTACTGTCTGTTAAGAAGTATATCTTTAATTTACAATCCACATTTACCTTTTGGGCTGTGAAGTTTAGTTTAAATTCATCTCTACATTACAATTCATGGACCATAATATTCATATACAGTATTTATTTCTGTGAAGTTTGTTTTCATTACAGATTGAACCTTAAAAGAATTTGTTTGAAAAGAATAATTAAGCATATTGAAGCAATCCAGTTTAAATATTAAGATTATTATACATGTATATAAACAAATGAATAATTTCTGATACATTTTTATTGTATAAAAACAATATAAATATTGTATAACTCCCTTATGTGTAGATACAAAATCAAGCAGGGATTCTCAAGTTTTTTTTTTGTACCAGGGATGATTTGGCAGTCTGATGTAGTCATTAACCCCCCTTTCAGGATGATGTTTTTAAATGCATAAAATAATACAAACAGGACTAAATGAAAACAATTACATTGAAATATAGTTTTGTGCATGGACTGTAGATGAAAAAACCCCACATCAAGATTTTGAATAGCCCTTTAGTTAAAGTATCAAAAAAATGCCTGAGGAAATACTTAAATAGAACAGTTTCTTGAACACATAAGAACCAAGCTGAAATACATTCATTAAGTACACATGTAATAAAGCCCTTAGATTGTTCCTTGTACATGTGTGTTATTTTTGTCTTTAAATCCAAAGTAAGAATTATTATCAATTTAGCAATAAGTATATGAAAAAGAAACATGGAGAAGATTTTTTTTTTTTTGGCAACTTATCTACCCCCCTGTGTCATCTAGCAGAACTATAGAATCTTGGAATCACTGTACATGTCAACTTTGAGCATTTTAGCACACTTCAAATTTTTAGTCTCACCCAATTCAACTCTAGAATTGGGCCACAGATTGGTTAACTAAAGGTATGAGTTTATTAAAAAAGAAGATATAAATGAAAGAGTACAGGAAAGGAGCTCAAAGGAGACACAATTGAAAAATAAAATAGGATGGGGAAAAACCCAGCAACTCCACAAAACTGAAAGTATGAGAGGAGGAAAACAAGGAAAGGAAGGACTTCTTTTCAGTGAGAAATCTATTTTCCACATGTAATGTGTAATGTAATTTAGAAATTACATTTCATCTTTTGTGTGGGACTACATAGCTCTTATGAGTATAATGGTATCTTACCTATTTAAAAAGCCTTAAATAATGCTTGATTTTTCTTTTAAGACCTTTATTATATTTTTCTCATTAAATGGATATTATACTTCCATTATTTTCACTCCTTCCCATTTTTCAAGGGAGAATTAAGGCCTGAATTAAATAAAAGAGATATTATTGTGCAAACATGTTTTAGAAACTATACTATTTAATGTGAATATCAGTAGGCATTAGTTTCACATTTACAGAGAAGTTTTCTTTTCCTTCCCCCCTTGTCCAATACTCTGTTGTCTTCTTTGACCTATAAAGATTGAAATTGTACAGTTCTCTTCCCAGAGTTCCTTTTATGTATCAAACATCTTTTTGCTTGTGCATCTGCTTGATTTTACATTGACTTTTCTCAGTGATTTATGGATAATGGATTTAGTATACTCAGGAGACAGACAAAAATTTCTTCATTTTGTTAAAACAGAGGGTATATTATGCATACAGCATAATCAGTACAAGCATTTTCTTAACTGTATTTTAAAGCACTGTCATTATTAGAGCAATTAATGACCACAATCTCCATGGATTACAGCCTAGAGGAATATTCTAAACCCCTGTCTGATCCTAACCCTTCTAAAATCCTTCTTTATATAGAGGCACGTCATAACCTGTACCATGAAGGAGATTGGCAGAGTGGATTGGGAAGGGGGACTTGGTTGCTGAGCACTCCAAATGCCAGAATGCATTTGAAGCCAAAGAGAAAATTAGATCCACTGGGTTTTTGGGTTTTGTTTGTTTGTTTTTACATCACAAAAGGGAAAATTGATCTTATGGGTAGGGGACATACTGTCCTCTGTGCTCTACGTATTGTTATAGCATAAGAATGTAATTACTGCTAAATCCCTTTTGGAGAAAAACTTCATAGCAGGCTGAGGTTAGGACTATGTTGTAAACCAGCCTTCCTTTTTGGTACCTTTTTTGCTTTAAGATGTGTCTATTTTAAATATTTATACATTTTTATGCAAGGAGAAAGTGATAATAAACCCACATAATGTGCTATATGAGGTCTGAAAGCATAGAGATTAATTTAGAAGCTTATGATTATGAGACAATGTTTCAGTCTTTTTCCTGAAGTTTTTTTCACCCTTGTAACTGAGGTTCTGACAATGTGGTTTTTAAAAGAATAAGAGTTGGGCCGGGTGTGGGGGCTCACACCTGTAATCCTAGCACTCTAGGAGGCCAAGGCAGGCAGATGGCTCAAGGTCAGGAGTTCGAGACCAGGTTAAGCAAGAGCAAGACCCCCATCTCTACTAAAAATAGAAAGAAATGAATTGGTCAACTAAAAATATATAGAAAAAAAAATTAGCCGGGCATGGTGGCGCATGCCTGTAGTCCCAGCTACTCGGGAGGCTGAGGCGGGAGTATCGCTTGAGCCCAGGAGTTTGAGGTTGCTGTGAGCTAGGCTGATGCCATGGCACTCTAGCCCAGGCAATAGAGTGAGACTGAGTCTCAAAAACAAAATAAACAAACAAAAAAAGAACAAGAGTTGTAACTTCAGCTTAAATCTTGCTTTGTCCATAAATAGCTGAAGGCTTTGTGTTTGTCATTCTCAAATGGAGAAATTCATTACCTGACCTTCTTTACTCGACTTCTTGTGTAGCCTATCAATTACAGAGAGAAATATCCATATATAAGCGGATCAAAGCATGGGTTTAAAAAAGCAAAGAGAAAGAAGAAGTGATTTACTGGATCTGACACCCTGTTTACCATTTCAGGATCAAACCAATACCAAATTCCTAGGACATAATAGGGAGTCCAGCAGACAGTAAATGAAGTGGCAAAAGCAACTGTCATCTTTAGGGTCCTCAGCCGTGCTCTTGGTATATTGTTCTTGGATTGATTCAATTGTAGTTCTATTAGATAGAAAAAAGAGCAGGTGTTTAAAGAGCAGTTTTCTCACAAAACCAAAATGGACAAAAAGAAAGAGACCATCACTAATTCAACCTAATGAATATAATGGGAGGAAAATTTCAATATTTTTAATAATGACAATTTATTTGAAAAGTATATTTTTATACCAAGTTTTCTAATATGTCACGTACTGAATAGAAAACATCAAAGATCATAGTGCTGTTAATTTTAATTTTCTACCAAATGAATCTGGGTTTGCATATGGGATATTCAAACTCTTAAAATATAAATTGAAGAGATAGGCTGAGGTTGGACTGAGTTGAATTCTGACTTCAAAACAGAATTATATTACTTGAATGCCTCTGCCACTAAGGATAATGAGAATTGTGTACAAATAGAAGTGTGCTGCCCTAAATTATCCACCTCAACTGTGTGCTTCTTTTTATGATCTCTGAAACAAGTTCACTTTTCATGTTAATACATCCTTTAAAGTTCATAGGCTCCTCTTCTTGTAAAGAAATTTAATGGGAATTAATGGAATTGCTGACTTTAACAGTCAGGCTGCCTATCTGAAGTTTAGGACTTTGTCCTTTAAGGCAAAAAGCTGCAATTTCAAAGTGCTTAAAATCTGTTCTTGTGTTTCATAATCCAGAACTGGTACTTTAAAATAAGAAATACTCTTCACATACTATATTTTTTTTTAATGGAAACAGATAATGCTATTCAGAAATAGTCCTTTGGCAACTTCTTACTCATTGATCACCAAAGAGTGGAAATATAGAGGAAAATCTTTTACATTTAGCATGTTTTAATAATGAAATTAATTTTTGAGTAGAAATGTTAAAATAAGTAATTTATTGACTAAAGATTGGTTACGAATTTTTGTTTAGACAAAACTAATTACCATTTACTGTGTGCCTTGCCATGGGCTTTGCTCTTTTCACGTGCTGTTTCACTGAATCTTCAAGATTTGTAAACTTTAGTGACATATAAGTAATAAAGCAATCAATCAGAGTGAACACATTTTATAAAAAGCATCTTGGCTCAGCTTGGTGGCTGAATATGAAAAAACTATAAAGATATCCACCACATGCTATGTTTCTCCCTCTTTTGAAATATCATCATGCTTGATTATTAGTTTACTGTTTACTCTCTGCATTTTCTGCTAGACTGTAGCCCATGACAGCAGGAGAGCTACTTAGCTTATCTTATTCACCATAGTATCCCCAACCTGGCAGTTTCCAGCAATATTTAGTATTCAGTACACATTGAATAGTTGAATAGATACAAAATTAAATAAATAAATGTGTTAATAATATTTAACCACTACTCATTGCCTTTGCTTTTTATTTTTATGCTTCTGCACTGCTCATATCTTTTTTCCCTCTAACCCCTATTTGAAATTCATCTTCTTATTCTCTCTGTGCCCTTCTTAGATATCCCTTATAGAACAGAATCTTTCTGGGATAAAATTTGGAAGGCAAATTGCTTTTGCAGTATATATTTTTTGGAAATATCAAATACCATTTTGTGTTGGCATGTGGAAAGTGCCCAAATACCTATTAACCAGCATCACCATGACTGTGAGAATATGCACTGAGAGTGTTCACACCATAATAATTAAAATGATATCCCTGTTAAATTATACCAGGTATAACTTATGCACTATGTTACTGACAACATGTCTTCTGGATGTTGCCAACATAACCGTAACTTTATAAGTTAAAAGTAAGCTTACTTTATAAGTTTGTAAACTTTAGTTTTGGGGAATGCAGCAGATTACTGAAGCAAAAAAGGTACAACCACATCTGTGAAGTTTTGGATGAAATAATCAATTACATATTTTGTACACTAACACACATACAAATGTGAACAGTTTATGTTGTGTAGATATAGGAGATTTGAATGTGAAACAAAACAGCTTTAACAATTTTATCGGCTAGCACTTAACAGGTTATACTTTGCTATAGTCTCAATATCACTTGTTTGGTGTATTGTTCTTTGGCCCAGCAGGAACAATTTGCCAATGCTTATCTTGGGTATTAATGGAGTAATTGTCCTTTCTGTCTTAGTTTCATGGTGCAAATGTAGAACATTAGGAGATATTAAATGACCTCATTTGTAAACTGAGGATGATGAAAGTATAATAAAAGTATTACCTCATAGGGTGTCTGTGAATATCAAATGTGCTAGTATATATAAACTTTTTAGTACAGCATTTAGCACATAGTAACTGCCCCTCTGTTGTGAGTACTGCTGTCTATAAGCTGCCCATGATTACCACCAAATCTAAGGAATACATACTGTGGGGGTCCTGATGAAGGACTCGTGTCAGGGTGAAGATGATTTTTGCATTGCAGATCAGCATGATGAGAAGAGGGATGATGAAGAGGAAGCCAAAGGTGAAAAAGTTATAAAAGGCTTGATGCCACCATTGTGGAAAACTGCAGAGTGTTACACATTGAGAGAAAACTTCTGTCTGTCCAGTGCTGTCTGCTAGATGGATCATCCTAAAGATGTATAACTGTATGAGAAAACAAGAAGTTTATGTTATTTTTTCCCAAACACTATTTGAAAATTTTCTCTCTGCTGTTTGGCTAGCCTCCTAACATATTATTGCTTAAAGCAATTTCTAAGTTCCTTCCTATTTGGCATTTCTATGAAAAATTATGATATAAGTGGATGTTTACTTAAAATATGTTTGGTGCACATTGACAACCATGTGAATAAAAAAAATGTGGGTGTGAATTGAGCTGTAAGATTTTGAACTTTTTGGAAATTATTTGAACTTTTTGGAAATTCATCACCCAAGAATTTCAACTTTCTTTGTATTTTCAATTTCTGATATAATCATGCTGAGCAAATTTTTGCAAGTGGTTTTGTTCACAGTTATATCTTCAGTACCTAAAATTGTGATTGGCACTTAGAACGTATCCCCCAAAATACATATTTATATTTTATTGTAGAGACAGAAAACCCCATTAAAATGACATTGTCTTAAAATGTAGTGAAGAGACATGAACAGACAGTTCACCAAAAAGATATAAAACTGGCCCTTAACATATGAAAAGATGTTCAACTTGGCTTGTGGTAGGAGGAATGTCAACTAAATTTATACTGCAATACCACTGTCACTATCAAGATTGGCAGCCATTAAAAAGTACAGTCATACTCTGTTGGCAAGGTCGTAGGGAAACGAGCACTCTCATACATTGCTAGTGGGAATGCAAATTGGTACAAACATTATGGAAGGGAATAACATAGCATAACTACACATGCATTTACCTTTGACCCAGCAATTCCACATCCAGGAATTTACCCTGAAGATATACTCATACTTCCCATTATATAAAAATGCATATGTACAAGGTTATTCATTGATATATCATTTGTGATTCTAAAGCGTTGAAAATAATCTAAATGCCAATTAGCAGAGCAGTAGCTGAATAAACTATGGTAGACCACTTAATAGATTGCTACAGAGCTATAAACAAGAGTAAAGAAAATCTTTTATTTTAAGCAAATGAGAGGTTGTATTCATTTTTTAAAGTTTTTGATTGAGTTTAGAAATTTTATTTTTAATTATAGATATAAGAAACAGAATTATTTTTTAGACTTTACAAGCATGGCAAGAAACACTTTATAGTATTCTTTTTTTTTTTTTTTTAAAGGCAAACTTCATTCCCAGTCATGTCACCTCAAAAATGAAAGAAACCCTGGACCTGTTAAAAAAAATTAAAAAGTTGATTTTCAGTTTCAGATCTTTTTTTCATTTTCAAGGGGAAAAGAGAAATTCTAAATGAATCCACTAGGGAGCATCTAATGATCTTATTATTGATCTTGAAGTCAAACCCATACAAGTACATTGAACTAATTTTATCTTACAATTCAGATAAACTTTTTTATACACTACGAAGTGAGCTTTTCAGTTTTCCATAATTCTTTCCAACCTGATCTTATTTAAAATTCAGTTTTGAATTCGACTCAACAGATGTGGTGAGTAGAAGTCTTTGGAAGGGTTGCTTCACACAGAACCTGAGAATCTTACATTTCTTTAAAGTCTTAGCTACTTCCTTCACTTTCCTCCACACTTCCCCAATTGGACTTAGAACCAGATTACAAGAGTTTGACTTTCTGCTCTGCACTGGGCCACATTTTCACTGCAATGTTACATGTTTTTAAGCTAAAACGATGAAACTTTCATTTAGCAGTGACTTTGAAACATAGTACTACAATTTCAGTTAATGGTCATCATCTTTATTTAACAAATACTTATTTTTTTAAGCAACTCTTTGGTAAAATTAACTACATCAGGGGCTCTCTGTCATAAAAGATGAACCAGATATATTTTCCTACCAGACAATTTAATATTTGGTAGTAGAGTTATAAAACATGTGTGACAGCAGTAATGCAAGGTAGATGGATACATTTTAAAAGAGAGATATAGTAAAGTGTATACAAATTCAGAATCTCACTTGCCCATAAATTAATTAGATTTAGCCTTGGTTAAGTTTATTTTGTGCTCCAAGGCCATGTTCATTTGAATGATTAATACAGAGATCCACTTCACTTTCAGTGATTCCTTTGTCCTTGGATTATATTTCTTTAATTTCTGTGTTTCGCTTCTCTTATCCCTAGTCCCAGTTCTTATCAGTGTCTGCTTTATTTTGCCATAAACAAGAACATTCTGTTTTCCTTCTTCACAGTCAATTACAGATGCAATTCATTATTAGAATATCTTTAACCCTTACTTTACCCCACACTAATTACACTATTACCTAACCTTTTTCAAAGGTAATTATATTCAGATGGTATGCTTCAGTTTCCTCATCTATAAATGACGATAATATCAGTATGTACCTGTAGGGGCTGTTATGACAATTAAATGAGTTAATACATGCAGGAATAGTGCATGGCACACAGCAGTATATAAATCTTAACCATTATCATTATAAAATATTGAGGATATGTGCAACTTCTATGTGTATCCATATATATTTATTTATATATTTATAAATGCATACCAAATATTTTTTTCCCAATCTTTTTTAACCTTCTATTCCCACCTTAAATTTTTCCTTCCTTTTCCTTCCCCAGCCTCCTACATGAAAAAGGGAAATAGACAATATTACGTTGCATAGCGTGGCAGAGTATAGCAGTTAAAAGCTCTGACTATAGAGTTAACTAGGTACAGTGATATTTCCATTTATGAGACAATAATGTTGGGCATGTTATAGAATATCGTAGAATTAGTTTTTTCATGTGTAAAATAAGGATAATAATTGCATATAATGTATAGAGTTGTTGGGGACATTACATGAAATGCTGCACGTAAAAGCATTTATCACAATTTCTGGCACATATTCATGTCCTCAACTATTATTTATCATTATCATTATTGTTTTTGTTATTTTTGCTAATAGCACATTGTTACCATGTGGTGGCACAATGTTTGTCATGTTGTACATGTGTGATGGGTATTTATTTATTTATTTTGTTTTTGTTTTTGTTGTTTTTTTATCTGCCAATGATGGGTATTTATTGAACTGAAACTCCTTGTCAAGTTCAATAGTGCATTCTATACCAGTAAGTTCCCTGCGTGTACTCCACACATCTTTAAGCTGCACACTTTTACCCCAAAGGCAAAGAAGTGGCTCACATTTCTTGCCTGCAGGCCTGGATTAACTACAGAATTTAAAAGTTGTCAATATGTAATGCTGCATATTAACACAGATAAGCTAGTAACATAAACTTTTTCGGCAAATAATCTGCTACTCTGAAGTTCTTGTGGTCTTAGATGACTATCATTAGAAACCATGTGATTTTTAATTAGATACGGACACACCCTATCTAGACAATGTTTTTTGCTCAATTTATAGTTATAGCCTAACCATAGATGGCCTTAAACCAGATCTACACCCAGGGCATGTTTTCTCCTTGCTTCCCTCCTTTCCTCCTACCCTCCTTTCTTTTTCTTTTTTTTCTCCCTCCCTCCTTCTCTCTCTCTTTCTCTCTTTCTTTGTCTCTTTCTCTCTTTCTCTCTCTCTCTTTCTTTCTTTCTTTTCTTTCTTTCTTTCTTTCTTTCTTTCTATCTCCTTCCTTCCTCCCTCCCTCCCTCCCTCCCTCTCTCCCTCCCTTCCTTCCCAACCTACTTTTAGAAATGATACTTACAAGACTTGAATTATTATGCTCTGGCATATGTACATTTCAGAGTGAGTAGGATAGACTGTGACCAGGGGATAGTTTGGCCAAATTTACTCATCAGTTAGAATGCATGCTATAATTTTGAAAAATTTGAAATAATCCACCTTTATATAAGCATTTCTTTGTGCTGTTTCTTAAAGATTAGTTCTTTAATTTTAATACTCACATTTCTGTATTTTTTATTTCTTGACATCAAAAACCCTTTTATGAAGGAAAGAAGAAAGAAAGGGAAGAAGAAAGGATAAGAATGAATCAAATGTTAACTGTTTAAAATTAAAGTGTAAAGTCTTAAACTATTCATAGATGATTTTATATATTGTACAATTTGTTCTTTATAGTTACTCTCTTAAACTTAATTAAGTAATGTGCTCAGAGTCACATAGCTGGTAATTCATAGTACTGTGATTTGAACCCAACTCTGTTTAAATTCAATACTCCCATGACATTTCTACTATCTCATGGGCTTTCAACTTTGTTGCAAAGGATGGGGGGGGGAGCTCTTTAAAGGAAATGTAACTAGGAGTTAGTGAATAACCAAACGGAGGACCAGTTTTCCTTTCACCCTATTTTAACTAGAGCAGCTCCATTTATATTTGTTTCATTTATTGGGGCTCCACATAGGATTTTTTTTCTTTTAAATGCTATTGCTAGCAAAAAGTTTGAAAGTTTCTATGCTGTGCTATGGTGAAACTTCTGAAAATACATACATGAATCATCATAGAACTTAGCTTCTGAGGTTAATAATCAGGAAGGTAGAAAATCAGGGTGGCCAATTTGAAATTTGATCATACTGAGCTCTAGCAAAATATCACGAATTCCCAGGTTCCCAGGCCTGAGTTGTGACAACTAGTTTGTTAGTTTTTTTTCAATTGAAGTATGAATTACCCAAGTGATAAAAAATCAATATGTGCATCAAAGGATGAAGATTAAATTTGCCTTTTTAATGTAAATGAGCTGTGACAGGACGCACCACTGTCAATGTGCTTATGCATAGAGCGTGGTGAAGCGTGAGACACACTCACTGTGTGTCACAATCTAGAGATAATAAGGTCTATCTCTTGTCTACCCCATCAAATATACATAACAGTGGCAGGGTTGGAACCTCTTTTATTCAGAGAGAGATCAGAGAGCTATAATAAAAGAAAAACTGCACTTAATTAAAAGGCATGAGTTAAAAAGGCCAAGTGACATGGGAAACGCCAAGTAATGCTTTTATTATTTATTTATTTATTATTTTAGAGACAGAGTCTTACCCATCACCCAGGCTGAAGTGTAGTGATGTGATCAATCATATTTCACTGTTGCTTCAAACTCCTGGCTTCAAGGAATCCTCCTGCCTCAGCTTCCTAAGTAGGTAGGACTACAGACACACAACACCATGCTTGGCTAATTTTTTAATTTTTTGTAGAGATAGGGTATCACTATGTTGCTTTGGTTGGTCTCCAACTCCTGGCCTCAAGGGATCCTCCTGCCTTGGCCTCCCAAAGTGCTGGGATTATAAGCATGAGCCACGGTCCCCAGCCCCCAGTCATTTTAAATCAGTATTTTTTAACACTGCAGTGAGTTGTAATTAACATTAAAAAATAAAATGGAACAGAATAGAATATTTATTTCAGTTATATGTGTAAAAGAAAGAGACACAGAGAAAGAGACAAGATCTTGATGTAGCATGAATTTACTTTGGGTTATTGCCCAAAAGGTTTGAATGCCATTGCTTTCAAAGGTTTAGACCTTAGTTCTACTGTATGTAAAATAAAAATAGCAACTCATTTCCTGTTTACCTCAGAGTTAATGTAAGTATCAAATAGAATTACTTATGTGAGGTTTCTCAGGAAACTTCAGAAAGTGCTTTATAGATTTAAAGTGTTGTTGAAAATGAGGACGAGTCATTTGTTTTACAAAATAAAATAGTACCATCATTTTCTGTGGCTCATATTTACATAAAGCTCTTTGGTAGAAGTAATGTATTTTAGGTCAGACTATTACATGAAGTTCCTGAACAATTCAAAGTTAATTTCATGTTTTCTTTTTGCTATATTAAGATACATAAGTATTGGCATTAAATTTCTATTATTGCTGTGATATACTTAGATAGAAATAATTAAACTCATAAATCAATATTTTATTTATAGCTTGGGGGGTTAAAGGGAATGAAACTGTGGATTTGTCCTTCAGTTATTGTCACAGTAACTTATTTTTATTTCTGTCTGGACTTCAATCTATATCAGTATCTCAAATTACCAGCTGCTTTCCAGATAGCTGTACTTTCATTGCCAATAGTCATGTCCTAAAGCAAATGTTTTTACCTCTTCTTATAGCCTGCCTTCCCTTTTCCTTCAAACAAACAAACAAATGGGCAAACATTCCTCTTCTTAACCTACCTGGCTATTTCAACAGTTTTATCATTCAAGCTCTTTGGCCAAAAATATTGGAGATTTATTTTCATCTGTTCTATTATTAATTCCCTTAATCCAATTTGTTGCCAAGCTTTGTTTTTTGTTTGAAATGTTTCTCTTATCATCCCATACCGCTCTAGCCCTCAACTTAATCACCTCATTGCCAGATGATAGGAAAATATTCTTTGTCTCACTTCACTCTATTTGAAAAGATTCTTTGTCTCACTCTACTCCACTCTAGACGTAACTTTTCTTGAACATTTTTGCTTAAAAAAATCAGTTTACTTCTTGCACAGGACTTGCAAAGACTATGAGGCCCTCACATTAATTTCAGGAATTCTCACAGCTATTAATGTCTTCTATGATACAAATCTATCATGCTGCTCATTCATTCATTCATTCATTTAGTCAAACATTTTTAATTTCTATTTTTGCTAGGTATCTTAATTAGGTACTGTGATAAATATTGGGTCGTCAACAGGTCGTCTTGAACACAATAGAGTCTCCATCATTTAGAAGCATATATCCTAATGGCAAAGACAGACACACATATAATCACAACGTTTCATGATAAATAAATAGTTGCTATGGAAAGGATGACCACCAAATCTAATTTCTCAATATTCCCAACTCTCAGTCTTTCACTTCAACCAAATTAGTCTTCTATGAAAATCAGTCACACTTTTAACCATTATTGAAAATTATATGTGATGCTTCATTTATTTTTTCCATTCAAATATCAATCAATCTTAATAACTAAACTTATTCTACCTTACCCTAAAAGCTTCCTTCACTGTTTCAACCCAAACAAGTGTCTTCTTATCCTTGTAATAGGTTTAAAAAATTTTAGTATCTAGTTGTATTAGTTTTATATAAGTTTTGTCTTCACAAATGAACTACATTTTCTTTGAGGACTATTTCTCTGTTTCATCAGTACCAACCTCAGTGTGAGGACTCTAACTTGTGTTTATCTTCTCTAAGAAAACAAATGAAAGTACTTACACTTTCAAGAAACAAAATGAAACATTTCAAGAGCATAAGCCTTAGCTAAATAATCTCATTTTTAAATGACATATTTGTTAAACCTACTCTTGTATATTGAGTCACTGTGAAGAAATTATAATATATTTTTCTCCAGGAAAATCAAAACATTTTAGTTTTTCCCATTCCTCCTGCCATAGAGCACACTAATTAAATTTATCTAAAATCCAAAAAAATTAGTTAAGTGAGGAATTAGTGAGAAATTTTAGTTACCCAGCTTTCTAGTGTCTTGCACTATGTAGTGAGCTGTGCCTGGCAGTGTTTTGTTTTTAAACCATTGGGCCAGTTTAGAATGTCTAGATAAATTTCCATTTGTAAAGGAAAGTTTTGGAGGATCCTAATTAAGTCTGATTTACTTCTTGACACATCCTTGTATCCTGGGCTCACCGTACAGTATATTTATGCACACAGAGACAACTTATCTGTTATTAAGGGATCTTTGTTATTTGCAAGAATTTATCCTTCTTTTCTTCAGAGATCTGACTGTTGAAATGGTAGATTCTGTAGGTCAATTAACCAAGTTGCCTCTGATGAAGACAATCTGGAACAATATCTGCCTTCTGTTATCATAGGGCAGTTATTATATCAACAGTCATATGGCTTTCCCAACAACCTACCTCCTGCAAAATTCAAGCTAACTTCAAGGAAATATTCAGATTTACAAATGTCCAAGATTGCCCACTTTTCTTCTTTATTCCATCCCACACGGCTGCAAATGGCAGAACAACATACTGATCAAGAATAAATCTCCCTAAGCTGCAGTGACAGAATTCTTAAAAGTTCCCACTCAAGAAATCGCCAATAAGAAATGTTCTAGGGCTGGGCGCGGTGGCCCATGCCTGTAATCCTAGCTCTCTGGGAGGCCGAGGCGGGCGGTGGATCGTTTGAGATCAGGAGTTCGATAACCAACCTGAGCAAGATGTAGACCCCGTCTCTACCAAAAATAGAAAGAAATCCAATTGCCGAACCTAAATATATATATAGATAACATTAGCCGGGGCATCGGTGCTACATGCCTGTAGTCCAGCTCTCGGGAGCTGAGCAGGAGGATTGTTGAGCCCAGGAGTTGAGGTTCGTGTAGCTAGGCTGACAGCCACAGCACTTCACTCTAGCCCAGGCAAACAAGCCCGGACTCTTCTCAAAAAAAAAAAAAAATAAGAAAGTTTCTAAAAAAAAATATTTTCTACCTAATGAAATATTTAGACAGTTCCTAAAAATTCTCTCAACTGGGCCAGGTGAATGTCTCATGCTTGTATCCTAGCACTCTGGGAGGCCGAGCAGGAGATGCTCAAGGTCAGGAGTTCGAAACCAGCCTGAGAAAGAGCAGGACCCCGTCTCTACTAAAATAGAAAGAAATTTATTTGGCCAACTAAAATATATAGAAAAGATTAGTTCATGGTGGCGCATGCCTGTAGGTCCAGCTACTCAGGAGGGCTGAGGCAGAAGGATTGCTTGAGCCCCAGGAATTGAGGTTGCTGGTGAACTAGGCCGATGCCATGGCACTTATCCGGGAAAACAGAGTGAGACTCTGTCTTCAAAATAAAAAAAAAAATTGTTCCCCCCCCTTCTCAACCTTAAGTGCATCAAATCCATGTCAATCAGAGCAAAAGGAAAAATAGATGGAAAAATGGGATGAGGATAAGGTCAATTTTGAGAATAAATATCTTTTGGGGGAGTGTTTACTACCCACCAGAAATTATGTTAGCCACTTTAATACATTATTCATTTAATCATCACAAAAGAAGCAGGAAGAAGGCATTACCCCCATTTTTATCAATGAAGGAACTGAAACCCAGAGAGGTTAAGAAATTTGTCCAAGGTAACAGAGCAGGGCCAGGATTAAACTCCACTTATTGAATTTTCAGAGTTCAAGCTCTTAAAGATCGTACAGTTCTTCCTTTGATAAGACCTTTACTCAAGTTTAGATAGGAAATCTGTGCTCACCATATCCTAACAAGTTGATGAGTAACGGCCTACCTGTGGTCCAGCGAAGACACTGCTGAGGATCCAGGCCAGGCCAATCATGGACTGTCCGAGCTTGCTGTTGCTTTTCACAGCTAGGGGCCTCGTGATGGCCAGGGAGCGGTCCAGGCTGATGACCACCATCATGAAGGCCGGGGCGTACATGGAGAAAAGCTTCAGGTAGCTGAGGGCTTTGCAGAGGAACTCTCCAGCGTACCACTGGACTGTGATGTTCCACATCCCGTCCAGGGGCATGACTATCAGAGTCTCCAACAGGTTGGCTAGGGTGAGATGTTTCAAAAGCACCTTCATTCTCGAGAGCTTTTTCCCTTTCTCTTTCTTCTGAGTCCACTTCTGAAGTTTCAACAGGAAAGAAGCATTAAAGGTTGTGGAGAGCAGAAAAAGGAAGAAAGTAACCATAACTCGGATCTTTCCAGACAAGGTCAGCGTGGGGAGGTTGCCCTGCATCAGCGGGACGCTGTGGTTGGCTGCGGAGCAGTGATCTTGATCCTGCTCAGGAGAGGCATTATTCGCCATGCTTCCCCTGAGACAGAGCTTTGAGACTTGTGCTTGCCCAGCACTTCTGATGTTTTGTTGGAATTGAACCCAAAGTCCTGTTTTATTTCTGCCTTCTTTAGATGGAAACGTCATAGGTTTAAATTTGTGTCAAATTTTGTCCCTGGGATACTTAATGTGAAAGATCAAGGTGAACTTGTTTTGTGTGTTTGTAATCCGGCAGAGTGGGAAAACAGAGCGAGCCAAACACCTTCTGAGGGCCGCTTGTAACTGTAGCCACTGAGCAGATGGCCTGGTTTTCACAACATTCTTCCTAAGCGAAGGACGCTCAAAGTCTAATTTTAAATTTAAAAGTCACTTACGATTCAAATAACTTTAATGAAGAGATTAAAAAAAAAACGATTTAGTGCTAGTGTTCTGTCCAACAGATAGAAACAAACTGAAAATGAAGAAAAATACTAGAAACACCTCAACTTAATTCAATTAAAATCCGGTGTTTTAAGAAAGTAGTACATTTCTCAAAAACATTTCTTTGTTTTCTTTTTCAAACACGCTGTTTAGCATTCAAACACTATGTTAATTTAAAACTATCTTACAACAGATTCATAGCTTCACTATTAGGATCGATTTGATCTAATACGTGTTCAAATTTATCAATCAGTCTTAATGGTCAGATTATCTAAGCTAAAATTAGAGAAAAAATGATTAACCATTTTTTTTATTATTGCCTGCTTTTATAATTGTTCAAATAATGTACTTGCTAGTATTGCACATTATTGCATAACTAGATATTGGAGAAAATACTGTATAAATGCAGTAACTGCATTTATATATGTGTGTGTGTATATATATGTATATTTATATATAATGAATACTTATATTCCTTTATATGTTTTCTGATCATTTCACATTGGGACCACTTGGGAACTTTTTCTGTGTTGCTGCTTTAACTGTCATGGTGAGTGCTTGATGATGTTATTTACCAATACCGGTATGATTTACACTGAAATTTGTTAAATCACTAGCTTGATTTGTCTTTTGTCAACTAGTCTGCTTCTGTGGCAGCCAAAGCAGGAACAATACTGAGGATAAAAGTGGCTATTTTGACTTAGATGGTCTGTTCATTTACTGTATTTGTTTATTCTGTCTTATATTCATGTCTTTAACAGTTACTAAATATCTATTAATACCATATACATTCTCTTAGCCTTTGCTGGTGATAAAAACTGAACACAATACTATCCAGCCCCTTAGGGAGCTTATTTGGTATGACTGGATAAGCGTATTGGACATATTTTACGTATCTCCTCAGCCTCCCTCTGTACTGCCTGTCTCTTGCATCTTGAGCAGCTCAGACCGGTTGCTTACCTGGCCTCCCTTTCAGCTGTCACTATACGCTCAGAATTACTGGCTTCTTTCGATACTTCCAGACTTGGAATGTTTATATTCTATATTGTATAGAATATCAAAAAAAGGCATTTTTTTCCACACCTGAGACTTGCAACTATAAAATATGTACCTACTACATTAGCTATAATAGGTTCCTTATAACCAAATAGTCCTGATTATAATTTGTTTTTCTGAAGAACTCAAAAGCCTTTGCATATACATCATGTCAGTTAATCTGATCAGGGCCATATGCTTGAAACAAACAAAACAAGATACCCATTGGATATATTTACAAACCTAAAAAGCTGTCATAATTAGGCCAGCAGCCAAAAAATGTAGGACATAGGCAAAAAAGTGATTGGGGCCAGGTACGGTGGCTCATGCCTGTATCCTAGCACTTTGGGAGGCTGAAGCAGGAGGATCGCTTCAGGGCAGGAGTTCAAGACTAGAGTCAATAATATAGCAAGACCTGGTCTCTACAAAAAATAAGAAAAATTAGCTGGGCGTAGGACCATGTGGCTGTAGTCTTAGCTACTAGGGAGGCTGAGGCAGGAGGATCACTTTGGGCCCAGGAGTTTGAGATTGCAGTGAGCTATGATAATGCCACTGAACTCTAGTCCAAGCAAAAGAGTGAGAGTCTATTTCAAAAAAAAAAAAAAAAAAAAAAAAAGAAGGAAAAGATTGGGGTATAGGGTAGGTGATGGAGAGGGCATTCTCAGCAGCTAGAGCAGCATGTTCAAATACAAGACAAAGTTAGAAAGTTTGGTGTGGCTGGAAAATAGCATATGAGAGCAGAAGTGGCAAATGATGAGGCAGCCTTTAGATCTGGAGAACCTATATTCCATGCTAAGGAGTCTGGGCTTTACCTACAAACAGTGCCTCGAAGGAAGGAGTAATATGGAGTAGGTATGGCCAGATTTATGTGTTAGAAAGATCATTGTGTAACATGCAGAGAATGTTGAAGGAATTTGGGGAATAGTGGACAATCAAAATTCAAGGCAGTCAATCTATTTAGAAAACCTTTGCTATCAACACGACATGGAAGGTGTAAAGGCCTAAAGTATAGGGTGAGGCCATGAAGGTGGATAGCTGAAGTGTAGTGTGAATAGAGTCTAATGTATTGGTGGAGCTCAAAGAATCTTAGACCTAAATTGTTGGATGGGTCAACTGTATAGATTTTGAAGGTGCTCATTGCTTCTGTTAATAATGATACTACTAATATTATTTCATTTTGTTGGGTACTTACTATGTGTCAGGCACTTTCCTAAGCATGCTACATGTATTAACACTTGTAATCCTTACAACAATCCTAGAGGTTAGTACAATTATCTCTGTTTTATAGTTGAGGAAAGCAAAGCAAGAGTGGAGTGTACATACCCGATCTATGTTAGAGTTGGGCTTACATTCCAGCAGTCTGCTGCCAGAACTCCTGTCCTTAACTATCGTGCTATACCATCTTTCTGATAGGAGTTGGGGTGGGAAGGACTCTCAGCCAGGTGCCAGTGAATCAAGGGCCATGTTAATTAGGCCCTTTAATCAAAAGAAAGGAAGATACTCTTAGATAATGGCGATCTCTCTTTTTAATTTGTGCAAATTTATGGGGTATATCAGAACATTTGTTACATTTATATAATATGTAGTGATTAAGTTGGGGTACTCAGGGTGTCCATCACCCAAGTACAATACATTTTTGTTAAGTATAGTCATCCTACCCTGCTATCAAACATTGAATTTATTCTTTCTATCTTACTGCATGTTTGTACCATTTAATTCACTTCTCTTCATCCTCCTCCACCATCCTTCCCAGGAGCTCTTATCTATTTTCTACTCTCTACTTCCATGTGTTCAAATTTTTTAGCTCCCACATGTAAGCGAGAACATTTGATATCTGTCTTTTGGTGCCTGGCTTATTTTACTTAAGATAATGACCTCTAGTCCCATCCATGTTGATGCAAATGGCATGATTTCATTCTTTTTTATGGCCGAATGTTATTCCATTGTGTATATAAACCACATTTTCTTTTTTTTTATTTTAGCGTATTATGGGGGTACAGTGTTAAGGTTATGTATATTGCCAATGCCCCCTCCCCCCTTGAGTCAGAGCTTCAAGCATGTCCATCCACCAAACGTTGCACATCTTACTCGTTGTGTTTGTATATACCCATCCTCTCCTCCCCTCTCCCACCTCCCGACACCCAATAAATGTTAATCCTATATGTCCACTTAGGTGTTGATCTGTTAATACCAATTTGGTGGTGAGTACATGTGGTGCTTGTTTTTCCATTCTTGAGATACTTCACTTAGTAGAATGGGTTCCAGCTCTATCCAGGAAAATACAAGAGGTGCTGTATCACCATTGTTTCTTAAAGCTGAGTAGTACTCCATGGTATACATAGATCACATTTTATTAATCCATTCATGAATTGATGGGCACTTGGGTTGTTTTCACAGCTTTGCAATTGTGAATTGTGCTGCTATAAATATTCGAGTGCAGGTGTCTTTTTGTAGAGTGTCATTTGATCTTTTGGGTAGATGCCCAGTAGTGGAATTGCTGGATTAAATGGTAGATCCACTTGTATCGCTTTGAGGTATCTCCATATTGCTTTCCACAGAGGTTGAACTAGTTTGCAGTCCCACCAGCAGTGTAGGAGTGTTCCTATCTCGCCACATCCATGCCAACATTTATTGTTTGGGGACTTTTTGATAAAGGCCATTCTCACTCGAGTTAAGTGATATCCCATTGTTAAACCACATTTTCTTATCCATTCATCTATTGATGGACACTTAGGCTGGTTCTGCATTATTTTTTAAATGACTGACTTTATTTAACCAAGAATAATGTCTATGACAATTGGAAACTATGTAAAGAGGGAATATTTTAATTCAAGTTTAAATGGAAAAATTTGAGGAAGGAATATGAATTATTAATTATGAGGAAGTATTTACACAAAATTGCTGGGAGGCAAGCAACAAATCTGAAAGTCATGCAATTTTTTCTTTAACAAGTATGTCAAACTGTTGTAAATAAAGATTTGTTTAACGAACACCAAAATAGAAATTATTATGTGCCAGAAATAATTCTAGTGCTTTGTAGATATTTAGTCATTGGATCCTTGTAACTACCTTCTGGGTTAGATTCTATTGTTACCTTGATTATACAAAAGGGGAAACAGGGTATAGAGATGTTAGGTGACAAGCTCACACAGCTATTAGGTGGCAAAGCCAGGGTCTGAGTCTAAGTAAGTTGGCTTTATAGTCAGTGCTCTTTTTTTTTTTGAGACAGAGTCTCACTCTGTTGCCCAGGCTAGAGTGCCATGGCATCAGCCTAGCTCACGACAACCTCAATCTCCTGGGCTCAAGCGATGCTCCTGCCTCAGCCTCCCGAGTAGCTGGGACTACAGGCAGGTGCCACCATGCCCAGCTAATTTTTTGTATATATATTTTTAGTTGGTCAATTAATTTCTTTCTATTTTTAGTAGAGATGGGGTCTCGCTCAGGCTGGTTTTGAACTCCTGACCTTGAGCAATCCTCCTGCCTCGGCCTCCCATAGTGCTAGGATTACAGGTGTGAGCCACCACGCTCGGCCTCTAGTCAATGTTCTTAACTCTGCTTCTCCACTTCATGTAAAAACCCACTCATCAACCTGATTTTCTCTCCT